ACATACAAACTTCAAATCTGACAAACAACAATTTGAACAAATGTGTAATCATGGTCAATCCGATTTCCCGTCTCCGAAAACGAGCTTGTTCGCCACTCTGTTGTTTTGTTTGAAATACTGCGATGTGTGAACCAAAGAGGAAGAATCACTGAAAACAAGTTTTTTCGCCACATTGTGTTCTATTCAAAATATTGCAATGTATTGGCATGAGTACGAATGTCTCAAAATGGGCTTGTTCACCACTCTGCTGTTTTCTTATCAAGCTTTTACGCGATAGCTATCCGGTCAGTCCATGCGAAACAGCTTTGGACGTCCTGATACACAGAAATCAATTCAGGAGAAGTTTGAATGTATAATTGTGTACCCCGACGGTTTTGGTGGCAATGCCATCATATAGATAAGGCTCAAATGACGATTCCTACTAGAATACACACTCAGATCGTATAATTTTTAAGCTGATTTCATTCGGAAAGCCTCTTCAAAGATGAACCATGTTCTTAAACACAAGTGATCTGCCTCGTTTACTGGGAATAAGTCATACACAGTAACTTCTGGTCTTTGTTGCTTGCCTTACAGTCTGTTCATCATTGTGTGGTAAAAACCATGTGTACCGTAGTAGCTGCTGACGTTCCTAGAATTCGTCTTTTTTTCGCTAATCAGGATACCCACGAAAACTGGGGTCATGGCAACATTCCTAGGTGTGCAATGTTTCTCGTTGTTTGGTGTCAACAATATTCACGTTGATTCTCAACATCAGAGCCTATCACTAACGCGAACGAACCAACTGTTTAGGCCCAATCGACGCGTGGGTGTGAGTATTTGGGGTTCAATACGGTTTGTTCGCGCAGTCGGCAAAGGAATAACACCGTTATTTCAACCGAGATTATAGAAACCCTAGCTTTAGGAGGTATCCATTCAGATGGATAATTATAGCGCTGAACGATGCAGATGTTAGGGTTGTTGTAATACTTGACACGACTAGTCAGCTTCATTTTCTTTGTCTGTTTTTTTTAATCTGGAAATAGGGTGGCGGTGTTCAAAGCGTCATGTAAACCTTCGAATTACACAACGTAATGTCATTATTAGAATGAAAAATCTTGACCGTTCAATGGGAAAATTAAAATCCCCTTTTGCGTGTTCATGCACTACTGTTACTCCCGTCCACTTTCTTTTGTTCTAAGCTTTTCTCAACCCAATGTACACTAACCCCGCCTCCTAGTATGTTTGGTTTGAAGCCTCTTTTTTCCAATACTTTTTTGTGTTTGACTCTTCTGAGATGTTTAGCTATCTAAACATATACACATGTGCGATTATCGCGAACTCGTTTGCATCCATAACCACCATTGTACCGACCCTCATGACGACCTACTTTATCATGCCACTTGGCAGCCTTTGATTGACCATTGTCTGGGGAACGGAGTAATAACACTGCATTTTTTATATCAAATACACCTTTGGAATGCATGCACCACGAATGACATCGCATGCTCTCTCACTCTCTGTTGTGTCTAGTCTATTTGCCCCTCGTTTCTTTTTTTGCGAGTGATCATCACGCTATGTTGTGTCCGATGCTCCTGATACACGAGGAACGTCAATACACTCGTGTGTATCCCCACAGATTCAAATGCACCCGTTTCTTTGTGTCTACTTCTTAAGGATCGATTAGCTGAATGTACAGTCGCTGTTCTATCAGCCAATATAGACAAACGCTCATCTCTCGTCTGACATGCGATTCATAACTTGACTATTTTCACCTGAAGTGCGTAAGCTACC